TGGCTGCTTACACCCTTTAGTTTGGCTAATACTTTAAGCACATTTCAAAAATATATCAACTGAGTATTATATGAATATCTGGACAACTTCTGCTCAGTCTATTTAGATGACATCTTGATATTTTTCTCAAGAAGCTTACAGAAGCATTGCAAGCATGTACAAAAGATGCTTATGTGTCTATGAGAAGCAGATCTGCAGGCAGACATCAGAAAGAGTAAGTTCAAAATGAACAGCACAAAATATTTTGAATTTATTATTGAAGCAAATAAAGGTATATGAATGAATTCAGAGAAGATTAAAGCTGTTTTAAAATGAGCAACACCTACTACTCTTAAGAGTGTATGAGGATTTTTAGACTTTGCCAATTTCTATAGATGATTTATCAGGGATTTCTCAAAGATTGTGACCTCACTGACAATTCTTACATGCAAAAATATTCCTTTTTTGGGAATGAGCAAGGCTGAGGAAGCTTTTAAGTATCTAAAATCAATGTTTATCTCTGCTCTGATCCTGCTTCAATTTGTCCCTGACTGTGAGACTATATTGGAAACAAACTTCTCAGATTATATCTCAGAAGAAGTGCTGCTATAATATAATGAGCAGAGCATTTTACACTTATGTGTCTTCTTCTCTCACAAGCATTCACCTGTAAAATGCAACTATGAGATTCATGATAAGAAGTTATTAGCAATAATTAAATGTTTAAAGAAATGAAATGCTAAGTTATGAAGTGTAAAGAAATTCAAGATTCTTACATATCATAAGAATTTAGAATACTTTATGACTATACACAGACTAAATGAAAGACAGCTATATTGAATAGATATTCTCTATCAATTCAACTTCAGAATTGATTATCAGTCAGAGAAGTTGAACACTGAATCAGACACTCTATCACAAAGAGAGCAGAATATGCCACAGAGTGCTGATGATGAGAGAATCAAGTAGAGGCAAGCTCAACTACTTAAGTTTAATATACTGGCATCTGAAATGAAATCAAGAGTGACTGTTGCCAATGTGAAATCTGAGATATCTCTTCAAGCTCAGTGAAATGAGACTCACAAAAATGATAAAATTCTGCAGCATCTGAAGCAGACTTTTCATAAGAGAAGATTCAGATCTTCTTCTGAACTCAGCATTAAGATCTCTGTCTCTGAGTACTCTTTAAATGAGAATGAAGAGCTTCTCTTTCAAGATTGTAAGTGAATGCCATACTTTGTATCTCTTCAAATCAGATTAATGCACAAGGCTTATGACTCATCTCTTACTGACTATCTCAGGCAAGAGCAAACAGCAGAAGTTCTCAGATATGAGTTCTACTGATCAGACTATGTCACTAATATAAGAAGAATGATCAGAAACTGTCATCTTTGCAGATCAAATATCACATGAAAAGATCAATGTCAGAGACTATTTAAGCCTCTTCTCATTTCTAAACACATATGACAGGAGCTTTCTATAGACTTTATTATGAACTTATTAAGCTCTAAAGAATACATAAACATCATCATTATAACAGACAGACTGATCAAGAGAGTTATATTAAAAGCAGTTAAGAAAACTGATATGAAGACAGTGACTAGAGTGTTCCTTTACAACATCATCTCTCAACATGATATCTCTAAGACAGTAGTGTTAGATTGAGGATCAGCTTTCACAAGCATGTTTTGAACTCAAATGAGAAATTAAACATTAAGAGACAACTTTTCATAGTCTATCACTCAGAGACTGACAAAGCTACAGAGTGAATGAATCAGACTCTGAAAATCTATTTACACAAGTATGTTAGCTTTCAACAGAATGATTGATATGAATGACTCTCTCTGACTGAGCTGATCATCAATAATAGAGATGCTGTCTCAACAGATGTGAGCTCATTCTTTTTAACACATCTTTTTCATGTCTTCTTCATTGATATAGCTGATGCACTCTCTATTGAAATGTTATATAATTCTATTGAGTTTGCAGATGATTATATAAGAAAGACTCATGAAGTATTGAAGTGAACTCAAGTAAAAATGACAGATGCTAAGCAATCTCAAAAGAACTACATGAATAGATGAAGAGATCCAGCTTCAAGCTTTCAATCTGAAGATAAGATCTAGTTGAGCTTAGAGAATATGAGAACTAATCATCTGTGCAAGAAGCTGAATACAAAATACAATCAATATACTATGTTAGAAAAGATAGAATTTCAAGCTTATTAACTGAATGTCTCATCTGATATTCATAATATCTTTAATGTAAAGCTTCTACATGCTGCAGTGATGGATTTCCTACCTAGTCAGAGACAAATCAACTGACAGTCACTCACTATAGAGACTTCAAAAGAACCTGAGTTTGAGATTGAGAAAATTTAAAGTAAACAAATCTATCAGAGGAAAAAGCAATATCTTATTAAATGAATAGATTGAGCTGAGTCTACATGAAATGACATGAGTCTCCTACAAGAAGTGAAGACTTTGAACACTTGGAAGGCCTCTCAGGAGGCAAAATTAAATGTAAAGAGAACTTTAAATAGTCATAAAGGCCTGCAACAAAGAGAGAGAAGAAGAGTATTACAAGAGGCTGAACCCCTAGATTCACTCTGACTGACTGACTCAGCCTAGTCATCATTTGCACATGCGCATGTGATCATGCTATGTGAGCTTGCTTAAGCTCCTGTTCTCATCTCATTCTTTTCTTCCCTTTCCCAAGCAATTCGTCCTTGTTATATAGGAGGACTAGCCTCTAGTTCTTAGAGCTTAACCCTCTACATTGTGCTCAGTTCATATCTCAAAACATGCATTTACTCCATATTGTGTGCGAGAATGTTAAATGTGATAATCTACTCCTTCATGTAAACTCATTCTTAAGTTCAATAATTTTATATCAATTCTAACATGCGATAAGATATAATTATTCATAATGAGATGCCTAATATCAATGCTAGAAGTTGATGAATGCTCCTACAGTGCGCACCATTATGTGAAGGAAGATTGATGTCGGCGAGAAAGAAATAGACCTCGAAATGCAAAACCAAAGAAATCCATGGGCACGACTGGTTGTATAAAAAGGGGGAAGGTATAGACCAAATAGGACAGATAATGCACAAACTAGGAAGGCGGTGATCCAAAATAGGTAATCCCCTGTGAGGCAGAATAGTGATCTTATTGATCTGACTGAACTGAACTCCCCCTCCCCTTCAGCGAACAGAGGATTTCACCCCTCTTTTATAGAGGTGGTAGATGACTGATATCCTTATGCTTATACTGCTCATTTTACATACAATTCTAGCCTGAAAAGGCAAGCAAAGACATAACAATGGGAAAGATATCCCTCAATAGAAGAACTATCAAAGAAAGGCAAATACTTTCAGTATATCCATCAATAGGAGAACAATTGAAGAAAGGTAAATTCTTTGAGATGAAAGTAGTGGGTAAGTTGTTTGCAATCGCAACATGTTGGAACCATGGTACAGTCCGCCACAGGCGCGATATATCTGCTGCTACGGCCGTATCGCCGTATCTAACTAACATGTCTTACAGGTTGAAACGAATGTGATATTCCAGTTGCTTTTTAACATCACGGACAAGAGGGACAACTGAGACCCAGACTTTCAATGCCTATTACCTCCTACTGAGGTGATTATGACGACCAATTGTATAGCCCTTCAAACCGTTGTTACCAAGCCACCCAGAGTCACCTGTTTCAGAAGAGGAAAAATGGTCTGATTCGAGCGGTTGCATCGCATATCCATATAAGCACATCCCGCCCTGCTACATTTCCTCGTCCATATCAATACCCCACTTCGCCCTTCCCATGACCTTGGTACACCGCGGGGGACCGGAAAGCGAAAAAGACAGCGACGTATCTCATACTTTCGGAAATCACAATATCCTCATGCATGAAGCCGAGAAACGTGGCATGAGGGGAGGGCGAAACAGAATGTCTTCGCTAATAATTCAGTAATAACAATATCAAGTTCTCCGTCTGCTGCGCCAAAGGTTACGAATGGTTTTATTGAAGCCCTTACAACCAACTGATGCACCTTTTCACCCGGAAATTCTGCAGTGTAGAAACTAAGCACTTGGAATTGTACCTGTTTAATGCATCAAGATGAGCGAGAATGAAAAGACTTTTCCAGACATCAAGTGCTACAACCCCGCATTTCAGAATCAACCGGAAACGTGGGGTCTGTGTACGCTAAACCATCCCACATTGAATATCCTCAAAACCGCTCAGTTAAAGTTTGACTCGACTTTTGATATTTATGTAGGCTTAAGTGGGAGTGATTCTGTAACAAGCCAATCACCCCCTGTTCCGTTTTCACCACACTTCAAGTAGAGATGGATACGAACATGTCTTCCAAATAAAAATCAAAGATGGTGAAGATAAAAATGCTGAATTGTACACCTGAGAATAATAATCAGTGGTTATATGCAGTGCCCAGCCGCAATTTTAGGAGCAGAGTCCACGTTTGTTGAGCATCAGGGGGCATTTCGAACAGATCCACCTCCAGGGGAAATCCTGACAATGAAATGGGACATCAGGAAGCCCCTAACAACAGAAAAGGGAAATCGGTAAGCGAAGAATTGAAAAAGTAAGTCTCCCATGTCTATGTATTTTAATACAGCTGTATTCAGTGTTCAAGTCAACAGGTCGCAGCCACAGACATCAGGTATAACGCCATACAACGCATTTAGATCCTGCTTTAAGCCTTGGGAGTAAAATGGTTGTAAATCCAGAATCTGAGCAATGAAAAATTGCAAAAGTGGTAAGCCGCCCCACATAAGATAAAATCTCGATTAAACCCTGCGCATGGGGTGAACAAAATCGAACAGTGCAATTGCTAAGTGGAATGCTTGCCTTGCCTAGACATACAGGTAGCCTGTTCACAGTCTCTCGAGCATTGTTTTGACTTGGCAAATACGCATTGACCTCTCACTTCATTACTCCACTTTCAATGGGAGTGGGGATTTCATCCATACTGTATCAGCACTCAGTTCTCTTCAAAATCCTCAGGAGCTTGCGTCGAGATCCATTTTCTCCATTAATGCTCGACTGGCAGATGCTGAATCAAGTTTCTGTCTCCCTCTGTCCCATTTACGGGTGATAAGGAGACACAATATTTTCCCCCGTATCGTGAAGCCTCTATACCTCGTGGTAAGACCTAATTTCTTGCCGTCTTCGATTATGTCTGAAGAAGGTTCAGTACCGGCCTTCTTCCGTTTCGCAACATGAGTATCTTGGGAATCGCTAATATTTCCCCCATCATAATTAGTTTCCGTACGGTTCCGTTGGCACTGTCGACGTTGATTCGATGGTTGGATGCCTTCTTTATTTGAGGTAGAGGGTATTGCTGTGGGTATATCCTGCAGGTTCATTGTAGACTCGTTTTCACTCTCAGGAATAATAGTTGGTACAGAAACGGGGTCATGAACGATGTGGATCCGAGCGTGTTCAGTCCCAATCAGTTCATTCGAATTGCTCTGGACTTTGGACGTTTGGTTGTTGAACGATTTATCTTTTGTAACGATTGAATGGCTGGTACCTCCATCACGGAGGAAAATGGACACCTCGAAATCATCTGCTTTACCTGTTAACATGGATAGCACACTCAAAGGGGGATACTGCACGGGCAATAATATCGCACCTTCTGAGAGAACGTCCTTCACGGGTTTTAACTTCTTTTTGGCTCGAGCTCGGGCGTTCTCCTCTCGGAGCTTGGGTAAGATCAGTGGCTGTATACTATTGAAGACGCGGAGCAGAGCTGGGTCGCGGGCATCAAGCAGCCAGCGTGAATATGTGGGGTTTTCAAGATATATCCTACATTCCAGGACAGAGTATTTGCTGATGCGAAGGTAGCGTCTGATTGGAGGCATGAGGCATCGCAGATAGGTGAGGTTTTCCTGAACCAGCAGCTTCAATCAGCTCCCACCCCTGAAGCAAACGTAGATGTAGACCAAAGGCGAGTAATAACTATGGTAAGGCAATTATATTTTAAGATCCTTCCGAGCACCGTCACCACAGACTCTTGTTGCTTGTATTGGTTTTATTGATATGTTTGAAAAACTTCCATCCAGAGTAGTAAGGGTGAGCACGTGACGTTAAAGCTATCCCCTCATCTGTCTTTTGTTGCACAATTAACGTGATAAAAGATGACACATTTGAGATCAAAAAACATCTTAATCAATCCTGATCACATCCCTATAAGCTCTCTCCCATCCTCTCAGGCAGCAAGTCTGATGGTGTGCTGATGCAGTGCTGCCAGTGTGCTCAGTCCCTCAACATCACTGAACACATTCTGAGCCTTAACACACATCTGCTTTCTCATACACTGTTCATTCAAGAGATCTCATCTTCTCATCTCAATCACCTGCTGCACATGTGAACTGAATGACATGAAGTCTTCAAGCTCCTCTACACCAGCAGGCAGCTCAAAGAGCAGAAATGTCACATCAATATGTCTCAATCTATGTGATCTAATGACTAGTGATCTTCTAGTCACTCATGAGACTGAGATATAGAAATCTCATGCAGAAGCACTAGCTGCTGCAAATATGCTTGATCAGATTGAAGAAGACTTAGATGTCATGAAGACAAAAGATCTATCAAGAACACTGACTCTTGAAGCTGCTGTGAAGATGTTAGTCAAGAACTGATATAATGAAAGTCTAGAAACAGCTAAGCAATTCATCACAATCAAGTCTGCTGACTTCACTGATGCAAATGATGCAAGAGCTTCTATCTATGCAAAGACAGCTGCAGACAGCATCAATGTAATAAAAATATCAGCAATCATACTGCAGAAATCTCTGCTTAGAAATAATCTCAGAGAAGAAAAAATATTATGAATTCTTGTATATATGTCTTTAAATCATCTAGCTCACAAAGCAAGCTCAGTTACTACTCTTAGAAAGCTGAAGACTGAACTTTCAAAGTCTTTGACAGCAGTCATTACAGCAGTTCAAGTCATTCTCATAGACATTGTCATCATTTCTAAAAGCTTGCAAGACATGAAGACTCTGCTAGTCAAAAAGAATGTTTTAGCAGTCACTCTCATCAATGCTCAGATAGAGAAAAAAGAATATTGAATCATCTGTCTGATTTCTGAGCTGCTTATGAAGATTAGTGACTATGATGATAAAACTCTGTGTCTATTAGCAGAATTCATGACAGAAGAATTCACACTTCAAATCAGAATCAAATTTGTTCAGAGTTGCTAAACAAAAATACACTCTGAAAACTCAACAGTCACTATTATATTACACTTTTCACAAGAGACAGCAGTAAATCTATCATCAAAAGTGAAACTATATGAATATTAAAAATCAGTGATCAGAAAGACATCTAAGATCAAAATACAATAATGCAGCAAATGCTGAGAATTTCATCAAAAGAGATACTGCCTCTGCATCTCTCACTGCAAAAAATGCAATTCTAAGAATCATGTGAAAGAAAATTCATCTTGTCATAAGAAGAATGAAGCATGTGAATGCCTCAATCACTGCACTAACTGTCTTGAATCACATGCTGTGAATGATTCATTCTGCTCCATCAGATCAGAGATAAAGAATGAGACTGTTCAAAGATATTCAAGAAATCAGCTGAGAAATATCTGCAATGCACAGAGTAAGACATACTTGATCAAGACAAGTAATAGCAAATGTGATGATCAAGGTCCATCAGCAGACCTGAGGTTGAATGATTCTACTGAGTGTAGATCTAATCTCACACTGACATCAAACACAGCATCAAGCACAGCATTGAGCACAGCATCAGACACAGCATTAAACATAGCATCTAATTCAACATCTAATGCAACACTCAACATGTCATCTTACACAACAACACTCTTCTTTCAGCTACTCAATGAAGAAGAACTCTAGATCTTCACAATTTCTGCAGATTATGCAAGTCAATGTAGAAAAAGAGAATTCAGCACATAAAACAACTCTCAATCTAGCATTTGAAAAAAAAATCAATATTTTTCTCATATAGAAACTCTGAATTCACAGAAACTTAAGTTAATGCATCTCTAAAAAGCATTCAGCATTCAACTGCTTTGCCTCAATTGAAAAGTGAGACAGAAAGTCACAGGTCCTCACCTATGTGTGTAAACACTCACAAATTTATGCTCATGCAGTTTCAGGCCTCTGGACAGAAAACTGAGACATTCATATGCTGCACATACAGATCTGAGATCTACAGCTTCAGACAGTCAATATATACAATGCATCTTCAGATGCAGAGAATTCTGAACAAGATATGAACTGTCTTCTCTCCTGATCTGTCTCAGCACTTCTGTTGCTTCTCACTGATGATCTTAATATCAAGCACCTCATGTGACAATCAGGAGTGTCTCCAAGCATGTGAATGAAATCATTCCTGCAATGAATCATGAATTTCAACTTTACTCTCATCATGGACTCAGACACTCTCACACATGGGCATAACATGATAGACCTAGCCTGGGCCACCCTGGAATTAGTTATTAAAGAAGTGGACACACAGATGGATAGATCTCTTTACACCTCCTCTGATCATCAGACTCTTCTTATCAAAATTAGTCTTTCAGCTGAAGACCTATAAGTCAAAACTAAACAAACTATGTGATATCTCAGAGTACCTCAATACAGATCAGCTGGATGCCCTGACTAAAGATATCACAGATGCACTAATAGCTTTCCTGGAAAGTTTCATCAAGAAGAGCACTGGGCAATGCACAGGTCAGTCATAATGAAATGAGGACTGTCAGAAAGCAGTGACAACACTACATCAGACACAGCATCTAAACTCTAGTTTTTTACAAGAAGCAAAAAGCAATATAGCCAGAATCATCAGAAAAGTCAAGAGAGAATACTGGTGAGACAAGATAGCAGAGATCTCAGCAGGGAAAAATATCTTTAAGATGATCAAATGAGCTCATTCAACTGGCTCTTTTCATTTCTCCCCTCTTGTAGATGAAGAGACTGAGCTAACACAGACAATTCCTAGAGAGAAAAGAGATCTTCTGCAATAGATACTCTTACAGAAGACTGCAAGCAGAGAGGATATTCCAGTTAGCTGATTCAACTCATCATCTGTCAAATTATCATTTCTTGTTGTTTCAGCACATGAGATACAAAGTTCTCTGCTGAATACAGGTAATACCACTTCAGAAACTGATGAAGTGCCAACAGAGGTGCTACAAAAGACATGATCACATATTAAGATATCAGTGAAAAGACTGTTCAGAGTCTGTCTTAGAGTTGACTGACACTCAATCTTCTTTTGAGATGTCACACTGATTGTGCTGTATAAGGTCAATAGAGATTTAACACTTCTGCAATCCTACAGACTTATAGCTCTTCTCTCAACATTGAAGAAGGGACTGAAATGCCTGATAGCTCATAGACTGGTCTGAACAGCTATACAAGAGAAGATTGTTCATCTTCAGCATTTTGAAGCTCTCTCTGAGCAGGCTGCCTCAGATCTAGTGGCAGTGATGATTCATGATATAGAGGAAGTCTAAGTCTATGGAAAAGTAGTCTCTCTTCTTACTCTGAATATCAAGAGTGCTTTTAATGCTGTACTCAGAGAAAGAATACTGCAGAGATTGCAAGAACAAGACTGATCATCAAATTTAATTAGATGAGTGAAAAGCTTCATGACAGAACACACAGACAGAATCAGATTGAATGAACTTCTGAAAGAGCTCTTTGATATCTCAGCAGAGCTTTCACAAGACTCACCAGTCTTATCTATTCTATTCATGCTGTATATTCAGCCTTTGTTCTTTCTAGAAAATATACAAGGAAGATGTGCACACTCAGACTATACAGATGATCTAGGACTGCTTAGTGCTGGAATCACTCTTGAAGAAAATGTTGTTACTCTTCAGGAGAATTTCAAGATGCTAAATAATTGAGCCAGCAAAGAAGAGCTAACATTTGATTTTGTCAAAACTGAGTTAGCACACTTCACATAGTGCATAATTCTTTCAAACCTCTCAATTGATCTTGAAATAACATCTGACACTCACTCTATTACAGCAAATGCAGTGAAAAGCTTCATAAGATATCTAGGAATTTGACTAGATAGAAAACTGAGCTTCAAGAAATATGTGGAGACCATGATGGCTAAGACATGACAGATGTATAATGACATACAGGTATTAAGCAACATGGTAAGAGACATCTCAGTACAACTACTTAGACAATTCATTCAGATCTATATGCTCTCTGTGCTTTGCTATGAAGCAGAGACCTGGTGGCCTGAAGCCACATGAATGAAGAAGGAAAAGAAAATCTTCAATTGAATGAATTGCTTAGTCAGAAAGCTAGATCTAGTCCTTAGAGATGCTTTGTGAGAGGCACTGCCAGTCTACAAGATCACACCCATTTCAGCTCTACACTGTGAGCTAGAAATCATGTCAATGAAAGAGACACTAGACAACTGATGTGTTGTATTTGCAGTAAAAATCAAAAAGCTTGACAAGAGGCATCTGCTAGTGAGGTACTTTAATAAAGTAGCTATCACCAAGCCCTATACCACATGTCTGTCTAGAGTGTCCAATCATGCTGATGGAATAGAAGCACATGACCCTCTACTCACACTTTCTTGAATGAAATTTCTCAGAAAAGAAGATCTGCAGATTGAGTATGAGACAGATCACACAAAGAAACAGACAGCACAAAACTTTAAAAGCTAACTACAATAATGCAATCCTCTGAATCTGATGATCTTTACCAATGATTTATAGATAGAGTGCTCTCAGTGTGTGATTGATGCAGAATGAGCTATATGCTGAGATAATGAACATCATCTAATCTTCACAGAAAACCTGCTAATGAATAAAGCAGAGATCTTTTATACAGAGACAATGACAGCTCTGCAGAAT